AATCGATCGTGTCATGATCGGCTCGACCATTTGCATGGTTTTCATAAAACAAGTAAAAAAGCTGAATACCCTCCACCATTTTGAACGAATTTGGCAATTTTCAAAAAAAAAAATCCGTTAAAAATTCTGTTAATTCTTAATTCTTAAAAATACCGATTGTAGTTACATTAGGGTCTATACGACGAAGTGGACCTGCATAGGCAACTTTTGTCATAAGCCATTACTATATTCAAATGCGAAACTTGAAAAAATCGTTGAATAATGTAGCTAAAATCATCAAAATACCGAATATCGGGAGGTACCATTATATTGGGGCTATACGAAGACGTGGACCTTTAGCGACAATTTTCTGTCATAGGCTGAAGTATCCATTACGTACTTCAAATATCAAACTTGAAACAATTCCGATGAATATCGTCGATAAAATAAGTTATATGTGGTCTAAACGAAGACGTGGACCTTCAAACACAATTTTCTGTCTTATGCTGTAGTATGAATTACGAACTTCAAATGCGAAATTTGAAACAATTATGGTGAAAAATGTCCATAAAATCATTAAAATACCGAATATCTGTCTTAGGCTGTAGTATCCATTACGTATTTCAAATATCAAATTTGAAACAATTCCGGTGAATAATGTCGCTAAAATCGTCAAAATACCGAATATAGGGAGGTGCCGTTATATGGGGTCTATACGAAGACGTGGACCTGCACATAAAATTTTCTGTCTTAGACTGTAGTATTCATTTCGAACTTTAAATACCAAATTTGAAACAATTTCGGAGAACAATGTCGCTAAAATCATTAAAATACCGAAGATCGGAAGGTACAGTTATACGGGTGCTATACCAAAACGTGGACCTACATGGCCCATTTTCAATACTAAGAGTCCTGAAGACATAATATACACTTGAGTAAAATTTTATGAATCTACTTCATATTGTTCAAAAGCTAGAGTGATTTCCACAGACGGACAGACGGACGGGCATCGCTAAATCGACATAGAATTTTATGCTGATCAAAAATATAAATGCTTGGTGGGATCTAAAATGTATATTTCGAGGTGTTACAATCGTAATGACAAACTTAATATACCCTTCATACTGTGGTGGAGGGTATAATAATACGCATCTGTCCTGATTTTAATATATGGAATGTTTTATATTGGATGGTAAATATAAAACATCTTCATGCTTATCAATTTCAACCCATTAGTTAGAGCCTGCTGCCTGATTTATACCCTCAGCTTTTAGGCTATGGTTATACGGAGGGTAAATATCATTCGATAAGGCCAAAACATGCCTCATCGAAATAACGATTTTAGACCCCAGTTTTCTTTGGACCAAATTCGTTTCAGGACATTTAGAGTCGATCTAAGAATATCCGTCCGTATGTCTGGCTGGTGCGCACGACAACTTTCGAAGGGAGTATCTGATTTGATCCAAACTTGGTACATCGTAATATAATCGTCAAACTTATATCGAAATTCGAGAAGGTTAATATCGGTCCAATCCTCTTGGTATCACCCCACAAAATTTCAACTTTTTTATAATATTTGCCTTGTATAACAAGAAGGAATCCTCCGATTTTGTTAAAAATTTACATAGCCCAATTTTTATATCAGTGCTAAGTTAGGTGCGGACAATATCGGCCCACTCCATCATCTATCTCCCCCACAACAGGTCACAATGGAGCAAATTTGAACAGCAACCAGTAAAGAAAGTCTTAAAGTCGGGCGGGCCGACTTTATGATACCCTACACCACTTTGCTAATTTAGTAGAGCTCCACATAACAATTAAAAGTTTTTATGGGAGAATTCAATCATACACGCTATGAATATAATTATAATTTAAAGTTCAAAGGACTAAATATAAAAATATAAAGGACTAAATACAATATAAAATTTGGCAAAGATATTTCTGAGCTGTATTTCATATATTTCCCTGAATATCGTTGTTACGGAGTGCATAATACGGTTGTGGGTAACAAATAAAACAAATCGGATGAACAATATATATAGGAGCTATAGCTATATCTGAGCCGATCTTCATCAAATTTGACATACTAGCTTCTAAACTCAATTCGGTCGTAAGTGCCAAATTCCATCCCATTTGGACAAATATTAGACGTTTGGTGCACAATAAAAAGTAAATCGGACGAAGTTATATATGGGAACTATATCCAAATCTGAACCGATCTCGATAAAATTTAGCAAATGAATTTCTGAGCTGTATTTTCTATATTTCCCCAAATATTGTTGTTACAGAGTGCATATTACGGCTGCGGATGACAAAAATAACAAATTGGATGAACAATATATATGGGAGCTATGGCTATATCTGAACCGATTTCGATCAAAATTGGCATCCTTATTTTCAGGCCTAATTTAGTTGTATGTGCAAAATTCCATACTATTCCGACTGATATTACATGTTTGGTGCACAATAAAAGGCAAATCGGACGAAGATATATATGGGAGCTATATCTAATTTTTTACCGATAAAAAGCACATAAAAAGTGGTATGAGCATTCGATTATTTTCTAACTATAATTAACAATTATTCCCAAAAAATTTGGTAATAGATGTCTGATTCTCTTCAAATTTTGCATATCCCAATATTTTTATAAGTTTTAGATGAAGTTGAATACTTTGGTCCACTATAACTGGTACCTCACGTATACTTCAATATTATTATACCCTCCACAATACTATGGAGGATATATTAATTTTGACATTCCGTTTGTAACTTCTCGAAATACTCATGTCAGACCCAACAAAGTATATATATTCTTCATCAGCGTAAAATTCTAAGACGATTTAGCCATGTCCGTCCGTCCATGTGTCTGTCTGTCTGTCCATCTGTCTGTGTGTCTGTCTGTTGTAATCACGCTATCTTTCGAACGAATTGAGATAGAAGGCTAAAATTTTGCACACATGTATGTTTTGCCAGTAGGCAGGTTAAGTTCGTTGATGGGCTATGTAGGTCCATTTTGATAACTTAAGCGACATTATTCACCGGAATTGTTTAAAATTTGGAATTTGAAGTTCGAAATGGATACTGCAGCCTAAGACAGCAAATAGTCTGTGCAGGTCTACGTCTTCGTATAGCCCCCATATAACGGTACCTCCCGATAATCGGTATTTTTATGTTTGGAGCTACATTATTAAGCGATTTTTATACCCTCCATCATACATAGTATGGAGGGTATATTAAGTTCTTCATTCCGTTTGTAACTCATCGAAATAATCATTTTAGACCCAACAAAGTATATATATTCTTGATCAGCGTAAAATTCTAAGACGATTTAGCCCTGTCCTTCCGTCTGTCCGTCTGTTGTAATCACGCTACAGTCTAAACGAATTAAGATAGGAAGCTAAAATTTTCCACAGATCTCTCTTTTGTCTGCAGGCAGGTCAAATTCGAAGATGAGCTATATCGGTCCACGATATCGTATAGCCCCCATATAACGGTACCCCCCAATATTCGGTATTTTGATGATTTTACCGACATTTTTCAACGGGATTGTCTGAAAATCCACACAAGGAGTCCCTTATAAGTATTTCACCCTCTGAAAAAGAATTGTCTATATAGGTTCACGATATCGTACAGCCCCCATATAACGGTACCCTCCGATATTCGGTATTTTGATGATTTCAGCCACATTTTTCAATGGAATAGTCTGAAATTCCACACAAGGGGTTCTTTGTGAGCACTTTACCCCCTGACATAGAGTTCTCTATATAGGTTAACGATATCGTATAGCCCTCATATAACGGTATCCCCCGATATTCGGTATTTTGATGATTTTAGCCACATTTTCCAATGGAATTATCTGAAAATCCACACAAGAAGTTCCATGTGAGTACTTTACCCCCAGACATAGATCTATCTATATAGGTCCACAATATCTTATATTCCCCCATATATCGGCACCTTCCGATACTAGGTATTTTAAAGATTTAATTTTTTTTTTTTTTTTTTTTTTTTTTTTGAAAATTTTCTAATTCGTTCAAAATGGTGGAGGTTATTCAAAGTTCGGCCCGGCCGAACTTACTGCTTTTTTACTTGTTTTTCTAAGTTTCGCAATTGAATATTGTAATGGCTTATGAAAAAAATTACCTATGCAGGTCCATGTCGTCGTATTGACCCTAATAATCGGCTACATTCGATATTTCTAAGATTTTAACGGACTTTATTGTTTTTGAGAATTGCCAAATTCGTTCCAAATGGTGGAGGGTATTCAAAGTTCGGCCCGGCCGAACTTACAGCTTTTTTACTTGTCTAAAAGTTATCACATATTTCACATAAGGTATAGGAAGTATCAGCGTTAGTTCGGATAAGAAGTGGATAATATTGGTCCACTTCTTCAGTATCTCCTCCATAATGGGTCAACATTTTGAATAATCGTAATGTAGGTCAAAATATATTTTAAAAAACTGACATAAACTGAGGGTATACATATGTAGGCAGAACCGACTACCATTTCTATATATAACTTTTAAAAAACAAATTAAATCAAAATCTTATATTTTCGATATTTTTCTCACACCTTTCTATCCGCTCTGTTAAAACTGCTGACATGAATAAAATCAATTGTTTAATTAAAGTATTTCTCCAGAAATCAGTACATAACCGCAAAGCAAATCCGCATGATTAATTTTCCCTTTGGCATCTGAACACTCACGTCGAACATAACAAATAAATCACCTTATCGTGTTATTGACTTAACTCGGCATTAGTGCCGAGTGCATTTTACAATTATCTCGGTCAAGTGTGGTGGTCTATCTCTGTTGAATTAAAACACAGGATTTGATTAATTTATTAGGATATCCTTTATGGGTTAGTTTGCATAGTTAAATGTCGTTTACATTGCGTACATACCGATACAAGACAAATACACCAACACATCGTCCCCCCTCTCTCTCACCCTCCCGATGTCCTTTAATAAATCTATAACTCTCTAATGTTGTTATTGTTGTCTTGTTTACATTTTACAGTTCAAACGATAAATGGCTAACGAGCAGAGTTACCATTACGGATGCCAAGCTCTCCGACAGTGGCAATTATTCATGTTCGATTGGCAGACTCTTCACAGCCATTGTCCAGGTGCAGGTGTTGACAGGTGAGTAGAATGCAGAAAAGTACAAAGTCAATAGAGAGCCGGTAGTCGGACTCGATATCGAAGAAGAAGAAAAAGACGACAAACAAATGGCAAACATAGATAGAAACACTTTTGCTATTTTCCCCCAATCTCTGTTGGCCAAGATGCAGTCGTATGACACACATTTTTAATTAATTTAAAGCACACACACACATACATACATCCCTTCCAATCTCCCTTTTGCCCTTCTGTTTCATTGTCCTTTGCCTTGCTCTACGATTAAGACATTCAGTCTGGCAACAAAAAGCAATTCTCCCATTTCCTATTTGCACAACTTCAAGGTGAAACAATAACAACAGCAAACATGTCAGCAGCTCACTTCGAATCTCGAGATGATGCTGCTGCTACGGCTGTTGTTAACTTCATTCGAAAGTTCTCGACACATTTCGGTAATTAATTTACATTTATCTTAACCCTTGTTTGTGCCAAGTTTTACGACATTGTATCAATGTTCAATTGGCTCGAGGGGGCACACAAAAGGCTAATTACAGTTCAATCCTTGGGCCAACAGGAGTTGGCCATTTTCAGGAAATTAAAGAATGTATATTTCTAGATTAAATTTTGTAACTAATTTCCAATCCGAGATGGGGAGGTTGGGAAGGGGAAGATAAATGCATAAATTCCAATACTAACAATGAATAAGAAATTGGTTGTATATGCAAACTTCTATAATTTCGTTATTAGATTATGCCATATTTTAATACTCTCGGGGAAATAAATTCACATAAACCGTATAAAGAATTCAATAGATAGAATAGGATATTTAGTATGGAACAAGGTTTTGATGTTATAAATTAAAATATAAATGAGCACGTATGTAGATTGGCAATGTTTAGGGAAATGAAAGTCATAAAGATGTCATAAAAGGATGAAGAGGAAAATAATAACACGGAAATCCAGCAAATTAAAAAATTAGAGCTAAAAGTTGACATCCCACAGTAACGAAAATAGAGAGGCCAAGTCCCTCCTCTCCCACACTTTTAGAAAATTTCGTATTAAGATTCCTCGAAATTGTAAGTTTTAGGTATACAGCGTGAGATGAAAAAACTGCAACCAACGTCAGACTGCTGTCATTTTTAAGCCACTCGTCCGACAGCTGTCAAAATTATTCCAGTGACTGCTTATTATATTGCTCACAAGCATAAAAAGCACTTTGGTGAGAATATTTTAGAAAAAAAAACTTATTCGTGATGGAACTCAAGCGTGATAGTGTGATTTCTTTATATTTGGCTGGTAAACCACAAGTGGGTATCGTTAGAGCACTCCAACATTTAAATGTGAATACATTTTTTGTGTCTCGTACCATCGCTCGTTACCGTGATACTGGTAGCGTAGCCCGACGTCGAGGAAGTGGACGAAAGAAAACAGCAACATCAGCAGAAATGGTTCAAAAAGTAAAGAAGCTACTTGATCTAAACCGCTGTGGTCAAAAAATGGCTCGTGAGCTGAACATATCGCAATATTCCATTTGGCAAATATTTAAAAATGAGCTCAGGATAAGGCCATTGAAATTCCAAAAAGTGCAAGAACTTACACAGCAACAGAAAGATAATAGACTCAAAAGAGCTAATGAGTTGTTTCGCTTCGCCGATAGTGGTGAACTACCGAATTTGGTTTTCTTCGATGAGAAAACATTCGTTGTCCAGTAGTTTATAAACAAAAAAAGAGATCGTGTTTACTTGCCAAGGAGGTCAGCTGAAAATGTGCACCTTCGGTTGGCCACCAGAACTCAAGCTCTGGCCATGGTGATGGTGTGGGCCGCAATAAAAGCCGATGTTCGCTCTCCACTCGTATTAATCGACCTGGCATCAGAATAAATGCCGAATATTACGGCGAAAATATTCTGGAGGCTGTATTACAGCCTTGGACAAGCAAACATTTTGGCCGCAGACCTTGGACATTCCAACAGGACTCAGCACAATCGCACTCAGCACGTGCCACCCAAGAATGGTTACAAAATGAGGCTCATTTCCAGCGCATAATGACCACCAAATCTCCGCATACCAATCCCATGGACTATTATATCTGGAGTATTGTGGAAAGCAAGGTTGGCACTTAAAAAAATACCAAAGTGTCGATCACCTCAAGCAAGCGCTTCGCCGGGAATGTGCCAAAATACGGCAGAGCAACATTCGGGCAGCGTGTAACGATTTCATTGGCCGTTTGAAGGTCATAAGTCGTGCCAAAGGTGTCCAGTTCGAACAAATCTAAACTTATTCTAAAATTTGATGCTATTTCCGAAAAATTTAAAAACAAAAAGGTAATAAATATGGCGTTTGACTTTGTTGCAGTTTTTTTTATCTCAAACTGTATATCATTTGATACAGCCAAAACGTGCCTTATCGAAATAACGATTTTAGACCCTATATCTCTTCGAACCAAATCCGTTTCAGGACATTTGAAGTCGATGTAGCGATGTCCATCCGTCTGACTGGTGCGCACGATAACTCTCGATGGGAGTATCCGATTTGGTCCAAACTTGGTACATCGTAATATTATTATCAAACTTAGATCGAGTTCGAAGATGGGCAAAAGGTCGAAATCTTCAAAATATATATATTTTGCACAGAAAGAGAATGGATAATCCGATGTTGCTTCAACTTTGCAAATCCTAATATTTGCGTCAGTGTGTCGGGTCGGGTGTGAAAATGGACAGTATCGGTCCACTCTATCAAGTACCTCGCCCACAAAGAGTCAACATTTTGAATAATTACTACTCTTATAGAATGTGATGTAAGATTCCTATTGTCTTCAAATTTCACATATTCCAATACTTAAATTAACCCAAGGTCTGGTGTAACTATGGAATATTTCGGCCCACTCCTTCTGGTACCTCCCCCCAAAGGGTCAAAATTTTGAACATTCATGACGCTCTTAAAACACGAAATTAACATCCGATTCCAGTCAGACTTGGTACATCTCAATATTTCAACATATGATCTGTTATAAAGATGAGAGAGATCGGACTGTTCCTACTGGTACCTCCCCCACAAAGGGTAACAGTTTTGAATAACCAAAAACGATCATAAAATCCAAAATAAGCATCCTGTTCTCTTGAAACTACACATAGCACAATATTATTATTAACCCGACATTTGGTGTAAACTTTAGTCCGGTCCACTCCTTTTGGTACCTCCCCACAAAGGGTCAAAATTTTGAATATTAATATTAAGATTTTCTAAAAATGATCACATATGCCATGTAAATTGGAGGAGGTTACCAATATAGTCAAAACCTGATAGGTAGCAAAATTTATACGAAATGGACAATATTGTCCAGTTCCATATTGGTTTGAATAATCATAACAGAAGTCAAAATATTTTTAAATAACAATACATTGGCTGAGGGTGTACATCTGTTGGCAAAACCGACTGATACTTTTTAAATTGTTAGTATGTATTTCAAAATCCCCCGCCATGTATCAACCAAACCGCACAGAAAGTAATCCCACTTATTTTACTTTTCAGTACGGATTTCCAAAACCACCTCCTGATCCAAATATAAAATTTCAGATTTCAAGCAGTATCCGCTCACGCAATACCGAATATAGAACTTCTCGTATGCTTGCTGAACGTATTTTCAAACCCAAGTCCTTATCTTAACCCTGCCTGTCAGAGATAGAGAGACCCCAATATCAACATTTAAAATTTCCAGACCAATCCGTTCAGCCAAATCTAAATTTTACCAATTTTAGTCAGAAAATCAATTACTTTGCTCTTTCATTAATATCGATAATATTTTTATACCCTCCACCACAGTATGGAGGGTATATTAAGTTTGTCATTCCGTTTGTAACACCTCGAAATGCACATTTTAAACCCCACAAAGTATATATATTCTTGATCAGCATAAAATTCTATGTCGATTTGGCGATGTCCGTCCATCTATCCGTCTGTGGAAATCACTCTAGCTTCCGAACGAGTTGAAGTAGATAGATACAATTTTGCTCAAAATTGATGTTATGTCTGCAGGACTTTTGGTATTAAAAATGGGCCATGTAGGTCCACGTTTTAGTATAGCCCCCAAAAAACTGTACCTCCCGCTATTCGGTATTTTGATGATTTTAGCGACATTTTTCACCGGAATAGTTTCAAATTTGATATTTGAAGTTCGTAATAGATACTACAGCATACGACAGAACAATGTCTGTGCAGGTCCACGTCTTCGTATAGCCCCCATATAACGGTACCTCCCGATATTCCCGATATTTTATATATATATATATTATAACCGATTTTTTTTTAGTTTCGCATTTAAATATTGTAACGGCTTATGACAAATGTTACCTACGCAGGATCATGTCATCGTATAGACCCTAATATAATAGCTACATTCGGTATTTTTAAGATTTTAACAGAAATTTTAACGGATTTTATTGTTTTTGAGAATTGCCAAATTCGTTCCAAATGGTGGAGGGTGTTCAATGTTCGGCCCGGGCGAACTTACAGTTTTTTTACTTTTTTATCTTTAAATGAACGATTAAATGTTTGCAATTTTTAAAAACTTCAACCCAATTTCTATTTTAACTAGCATTTGATATTAACTCTATGTTTCACATTGACCAAGGGCATATAGTTAATACAAATTTTTAAATTGAATCGAATTTAAATTTGGATTTAAAGTAGCCAGCTTCCAATATTTCTTAAATTTTTAAAATTTCTTTAATGTTTTTTTAGATGTTATACTTAGTATGAAAATCGTATCTCTATTAGAATTAGATATGCCTAAGATTTCCGAATAAACTAGTGCCACTTTGCCTGTTGTTCGCCATACAACAACTTCCACTGAATATTACTTTTGCATTCAATTTGATTTTCATAAATTAATTTTCAATTTCCACAGAACTCAATTCCCATTTTTATTTGAATACCCCTCCAGAGGTTCTCCACTGCGTATACAAAACGCTTTTGTCTTTCGTTCACATAACTCATACGCTCCCCATAACTACTACACCCCATTGGCTAGCCACAAACAGATAGAATAGATACTTGACTTCAAATCCCCCCACTGCAAACATCCTCTTTCATTGCTTTCACTCACAACAAGCTTTCGTTATACTCTTATCTGTCGAATCCAAATTTATTAACATTTACATAAATTTTGTAAATAGTTTCCCACTCATTGCAAGCATCTGTTAACTACATCTCCGAACCCCCCATTCCCTACCCTACCATCATTTTGGTGAAGGCTGGGCCTAGTCATGCTGCTAATTCTTGGCTTTAATTAACCGCGATTCATGTTTGCACTGAGGTTAGGAAAATGTGCCGCCAAGAAATGTTTGGCGCAGTGTGGTTGACTCGACTAGAAATGCAAATTGGCCTTCTGCTTTTATCGTTTCTTTTGTTCGCATTCTTTGCAGGTGAATTACCGGCAGCTGTGCAACACAATTCCGCCACGGCACTTGCTCGATGGAGGAGTACACAAAGCCTACGTGTTCTCGGAGGACTAATGCATCTGTGGTGGCTGTTCCGATACTCAAGGCGGCATCGGCAGTGGTGGTGGTGCTGGTGCTGGTGTTCATTGCTGATACATTTCGTCGTTGGCCCTGTCCCCTTCGTCGGCTTGAGCTTTGTGATGAACGTTGTGAATTGAAGCGTCATGCCGTCAAGCGAGCGAGTGAATGAGTGAGTGAGTGGTGTTATTAACTTAATTAAAGTTAATCAAAAGCAAGCGAACGAAAGAAAGACGGAAAGAACAGCAGCAACATCAAACAACAGCAACTACAACAATAACAATACACGTCTTCATCGCTGACAACCAACCATCAGTGTAGGCAAACAATAATTACAGGAACAACAACGGCTGACGCTGCCGCACAATAACGGTATGTAAGTTTTCTAAATTTATCCATTGTTACAGAACACTCCCCTCCGCTGGGTTAAAATGAAACAATCTGACACACTTAAATTATAAACTTAAATGCCGACTTAGTTGTTTAGTCACAAAAATATGACTATGCTTCTGATCCGAAGTGAAGCCCGTCCCTGCTGAAAAAAATGAACATTTTCGCTCGACGTTGAATTTAATGCAATTAACCGCTTAACTCTCTAAACAATTTGCAACAGTGTGTCATAAACTAATTGTTGTGTACATAAAGGAGTGAGGTATAACAATGGAGGTTGTTTTATTCAAGGGAAATCCAGAGGGAGGTATTCCGAATATTTTAGAGAATTAATATAATTAACCATTTTTATAACCCCCACCATTCTATGGAGGTTATACATGGTGAGATGAAAAAACTACAACCAACTTCAGACCGCTGTCATTTCTAAGCCACTCGTCCGACAGCTGCAAAATTATTCCAGTGACAGCTCATTATATTGTTTACAAGTGTACAAAAACATTTCGGTGAGAATTTTCAAGAAAAAAAGTTATTTGTGTTGGAATTCAAGCGTGATAGTGCGATTTCTTTATATTTGGCTGGAAACCCACAAGTGGCTATCGCTAGAGCACCCCAGCATTTAAATGTGAATAAATCTTTTGTGTCTCGTACCATCGCTCATCACCGTGATACTGGTAGCGTAGCCCGACGTAAAGAAAGTGGACGGAAGAAAACAGCAACATTAGCAAATATGGTTCGAAAAGTAAAGAAACGACTTGATCGAAACCCGCTTCGCAGTGGCCGAAAAATGGCTCGTGAGCTGTACATATCGCAATATTCCATTCGGAAAATATTGAAAAATGAGCTCGGGTAAAGCCATAGAAATTCCAAAAAGTGCAAGAACTTACACCGCAACAGAAAGTAAATAGACTCAAAAGGGCTAAATAGTTGCTTCGTTTGGCCGAAAGTAGCGAACAGCCGAATTTTCCCTGTTTTCTCCGATGAGAAAACATTCATTGTCCAGCAGTTTGTAAACAAAAAAATGATCACGGTTACTTTCCAAAAAGGTCAGCTGAAAATGTGCACCTTCGGTTGGCCACCAGAACTCGAGCGCCGGCCATGGTAATGGTGTGGGCCGCCATAACAGCGTAATAATCGACGTAGCATCAGAATAAATGCTGAATATTATCGCGAAAATATTCTGGAAGGTGTATTAAAGCCTTGGGCACGCGCCACCCAAGAATAGTTACAAAATGAGGTTTATCGCTTCATTTCCAGCGCCCAATGGCCATTACCGTAAAGCCGTAATTCTTGCCAAAGGTGACCAATTCGAACAAATCTAAACTTATTCTAAAATTTTATGCTATTTCCGAATCAGCAGTGCGTCTGACAAATAAAATCACGCTATCTTTTCTTCTATATCAAACGAATGGGGAAGAAGTATAAAATCTTAAAATCTTATTTCGAAGATCTTTCGAAATCTTATTTCGAAGATTTTAGCTACATTATTCACCGGATTTGTTTCAAATTTTGACAATTCGGAATCGGTACTATAGCCTATGACAGAAAATTACTTATGCAGCCCCCATATAATAGGTTTCATTTAAACAGTATTTTTTTACATAATTTTTTCTTTGCTTTTATAACCTCCAACATACATAGTATGTACGAAATATTAAGTCCATCAAGCAAAGTTATATTCTTGATCAGCGTAAAGTTCTAATCACGGTACAGTCATAATGAATTAAGATAGGAAGCTAAAATTTTGCACAGATCAGTCTTTTGTCTGCAAGCAAGTCAAGTTCGAAGATCGGCTATATCGGTTCACGATATCGTATAGCCCCATATAACGGGGCTATACCATACATAGCTACACCAGGAGTTTTCTGTGAGTACTGAACCAGAAAGAGAATTGACTACACAGTTCCATGATATCGTTACCTTCTGATATTCGCTATTTCGGTGATTTTAGCGATTTTTTTACGGAAATTGTTTCAATACCAGGAGTGGGCCGATAAATTCTATATTTAAATAAACTAAGTTTAAAAGAATCGTCGACTTGTTTCGCATGTTATAGGATATATAGGTATTCAAAATGTTGAACCTTTGTGGGAAGGTGCCAGAAATGGTCAACCGATATATTCCATCTTCACATTAGATATTGCGTTAGTAGAAATATTGGAATGTGTGATGCTTAGAATGAATCGGGTGCTTATTCCGAATTTAAAAAGAGGATTATTCCAAATTTTGACCCTTTGTGGTACCAGAAGTCTTGATCCTATATATTCCATCTTCACCCAGATCTTGTGTTGATAGATATATTGGGGTGTGACAAGTTTGGATTTTTTGGAAAAAGGAATCGGATGCTCATTTTGCGTTTTGCGAGCTTCATGACTATTCAACAATTTGACTGGGAGGTACCAACAATTTATGGGGAGGTACCAGAAGGAGTGGTCCGATATTTTCCATCTTTGCACCAGATTTTGTGTTAATAAACATTTTGGAATTACGCATCTCTGGATTCGATCTAAGTTTGACAATTATATTACGATATACCAAGTTTGGACCAAATCGGATACTGCCTTCGAGAGCTGTCGTGCGCACCAATCAGACAACCATAAAGACGGACGGACACCTCTAGATCGACTCCAATCAAATGATATGTACCCTCTATAGTCGCATGGCTGAGTGTAAAAAAATAAATGTCAGAGCAGTTGATATATGAGAACCGAGTTTTACGAAATGGAAAAATTCGATGGAATATGCAAAAATAGTTATATGAAGAATATGAGGGACTTTAACATTATATCTGATGAAACATATATATGGGAGCTAAAGCCATATTTTAACCGCTTTCTACCAAATTTGAAGTTGCTTCTTCTGGGATGAATTCGGTCGTACGTACGTACTAACCATTTGGCGCCCAATTAAATGAAGATAAATATATAATTTTTTAAAGTGTTATATCCTTTGGGAAAATCGTGGAATAATTTCGGATTTTATAAGAAATATTTCGATGGACAACGTTTTCACTTTTTAATGAGATGTTCCTTAAAAAATCGCAAAAATTGCGAGGCATTTGCGATCGTTTGCGAGAAAGCAACAAAAAGGGACCGATGCATCGCATCTCGTAGAAGATGGGAGAATGCTGAGTGTAAAATATATATCGGAGTAAAAAAATATATATGGGAGCCGAGTTCCACAAAATGGAAACGTACGTCCCGAAATTGGCTACATTTGGGCTGATATTAGCCATAATTTGCACAATAAACCTGAAATCGGTTGAAGATATATGGAAGCTATATTCAAATCTTTCCGGGCTTTATAAGATATCTGATACCAAATATCATTGTTTTCGAATACATATTACGAAGTTGAAAGACTTAAACCCCAAATCGGATGAAACATATATATGGAAGCTATAGCTATATCTGACCCGTTTTTCTCCGAATTCGATGTACTTGCTTCTAGACTGCTCGGTAGGATGTAGCAAAACTCAGGTGATTTGGACTGATATTGGCTATTTGGTGCACAATTAACTTGAAATCGGTTGAGAATATAAACGGAAGCTATACAAATCTGAACCGAACTTGACAAAATTTGATACACTTTACTCAGAACTGTATCTGATATATGGTACCAAAGATCATTGTTGTGCAATGCGTATTACGCTTGTGAGGGACTTAAAACCCCAAATCGGATAAAATATGTATATGAAAATATAACTATATCTGAACCGATCTACACCAAAATTTGAAGTCCTGGTTTATAGGATGAATTCAGTCGTAATTGCCAAAATTCAGTTGATTTAGGCTGATATTAGCCATATGGTGCACCATGAACCTGATATCGGATAAAGATATATATATCCAAATCTGAACCGATATCGATAAAATTTGGCAGAGGTTATTTCGAGCAGTACCTTATGTCCGTACCAATTGTCATTCTTCTGGGGTGCATATTACGCACGCGGGGGACTTAAAACCCTAAATCAGATGAAACATATATATATATGGGAGCTATAGCTATGTCTGAACCGATTTTTTCCAAATTTAATTTATTTGCTTCTAGACTGATTTCGGTTGGATGTACCAAAAATACAGGTCATTTGGACTTATATTAGTCATTTGGTGCACAATTAACCCGAAATCTGTTGAAGATATATGGGAGCTACATCTTAATCTGATCCAATTATCACCAATTTTAAAATAGTTCGTCCTTGGGACAAACATATATTGTTTGCAAAATTTCATCTCAATCGGAAAATAAATGCGACCTGCATTTTATTCACCAGAATAAATGGACAGACGGATGGACGAGCGGACAGACGGACTGGCGTGCTTAAATCGACTTAGAAAGTGGTTCTATAAAGATCCTCAAAAGTAAGTATCTCACTTCCTTCTCCATGCTACAAACAAATGCACAAAGACACAATGTCCTTACCACTATATGATGTAGGGCAAAAAAATCGTCGAAAAATACCGCATAAATGAATCCGTTATATGGGTGCTATACGAAGACGTGAACCTGCACAAGTAATTTTGCATAAAATCTGTCATAGCCAGTTGTACCGATTCCGAACTTCAAATACGAAATTTAAAGCAATTTCGGTGGATTATGTCGCCAAAATTATCAAAATACCGAATATCAGGAGGTATCGTTATATGGCGGGCTATATGAAAACGTGGACCGACATGGACAAATTTATGAACTTAACCTGACTACTGGCAAAATACACACGAGTGCAAAATACTAGCCTTCTATCTCAATTCGCTCGATATATAGAGTGATTACAACAGACAAAGAGACAAATACACAGGCAGACTGACAGACAGACATCGATAAATCAACCTAGAATATTACTGTGATCCAAAATATATATACTATGTAGGGTATTAATATAAAATAAAATAAATATCTTAATTGTTGTCAGCCGAATAAGACGATTTAGGACGCGTGGCCGACCGAAAATGTGTCTCGTTATTTTGAAATTCGATATATAT